CTCCAGTGACAAAAACAATCACCCTGCTAAAGGTCTCCATTGACACTGTAGGCAAATAACACTCAGAAAGTTCCAGAAGATCTTGTAGGCAGTGGACCCTGATGCAGGGCTCCTCTAGGTAGCCTCTTCTCTGAAGCCCTGGAGGGGAGAGGGCAGGAAGGGAAAGGGCAGGAAGGGAAAGGGCCCCCACGCCCTCGCCCGGCCGGTTGACTCCGAGGCTTTGCACTCAAGAGGGGAGTCCTCTGCAGGAATCCAAGGCCAGTTAAAATTAAATTTCTATTCGCCAAGACAACTGATTTCATTAAAACCTCCTGGAGAAAAAGCAGGAGAGGGGGGAAATGTGACTAAATGCCAGGAGAGGAAGAAAAGGAGTTACCACAAAGAAATAAAGTTGAGGCATTAGAGGAAGACAAGGAGGGAAAGCAAGTTTTAACACCTGCCCCTCTCAATATACAAGGGGGATTCCAAATAGTCCATGGGAATAATTTATGATTTCCGCCCCCATTTTTCCATAAACCTTTTGAGGTCCTGTTGTATGTAAATCTCTAAAAATGTGTGAGTGACACAAAAAATAAGCATGCCTATGTCTTAATTCTCACTTTCAAATTTGTAGAGTGAGCTTAAAAACAGTCTCACATTATTCTTCACAGTTTCCAGAGCTGCCAAAATGACGCCTGGCAGAACAATTCCCTGCCGTCAAGTCCAATCCTTAGGAGAGCAGAGAGCCTCCTCTTTCTCCTGCAGAGCAGCTGGTGGGGTTAAGCCACCAGCCTTGCAGTTAGCAGCCGGACGCCTTAACCACCACGCTACCACTGCTCCTCCTGGCATGATCAAGCTCACTGCCCTGGGATGGATTCTGGCTCATAGCAGCTCCATAAGGCAAAGTAGAACTGCCCCTGTGGGTTTCTGAGATTTTAATTCTTTACAGGATTTGAAAGCCCTCGAAGCAGGTAGTGGTTTCAAAATGCTGACCTTCTGCTTAGCACCCAACTCATAACCCACTACCCACCCCCTCAGGGTAATGTAAATCCACCCGTGAGAAGGTATGTGAGTTCAAACACCTACTGGACCCTATGAACTCTGTACAAGCGGGGTCTCCCATGAGTTACAGAAGATACACTAACCATTCACAACAACATCAACATGAGACTAAAACATTTCTAAAAAGATTCCAGTTGCCTTAAGGTCTAAAGAAAAAACAAAGTCACGCTTTTACCCATGGAACTCTGAATGACTCCAAGATTAATAATAGGGTACATATGCTTTCACCCCTAGGTCACTGATGCCGGGCGACTGTAAGTGACAGTCATTTTAGGACGTTACCATCCTAGCAGCTGCTTTGTTCACAAGCTGGAGAAACGTGTTGCTTGTCTCTATTAATACCCTTCTGACAGGTGTATACATTCCAATTGATGTGCATTTGCCAATGCATAGCACTTTGAAGCTGAGTGTTGAAAGCCCCGGCAGCTGCTCCCTTGGAAAGCTACCGGGGGTATGCAACACACTCTTCTTTAAACACCAAATGATAATGTTTTATAGCAGATTTTTTTGAACCTAAACTCATAAAGGAAAGAGATCTCTGGAGAATTCTGGAAGTGACAGCAATAGGAAACTAAAGAAGCAACAGAGAATCTTTCTTGCTAGTAAACACACTACCGCACTCACGGCCAAACCGGCTAGGAAGAGGACCGTTGAGGAGGGCTCAGTGGCCCACAGGAGACTGCAGGCCTCGCTGAAACGTACACACGTCAATAGAGGGCACTGTGGCATGTGCTCGTCCAATTACATACCGAGGATTTGTGCCCTTCGCCTACTGGGGGATAAGCAGTGTCACACCCAGGGTCTGCCCTTACTCCAAAGCTACGCTCTCATACCAAAGGGCTATTGATGGGATCTGTCAGTCAATCCTTCACCGAGGCAATCAGGAACTGCACGGGACCTACTGCCTTGGAAAGCCACCTCACGCAGAGAGCTTCCCCAAGCCACAGTCACACGGAGAACTAGAGGGGGAATTTACGTTTTGAAAAACAAAACTATTATTTTAAAGCCGTGCTATAGAGGGATTGATTCACTGCCAAATCCATTTGTCTGTACTTACATACTAATGACACCTACCCATGAGACATTCAGTCCAAGGCACTAAAGGAAAGAGACTTATCCCCAAAGCCTCCCTTCTAAACACTTATCTTCATTCAAAGAACCCAGTATCTCTTTTTAAACTAAATTTAATTTCACCAGGGAAAATTCCCATTCACATTAATATGCATTTCTAAAGCGTGCATAAAATGCTTAGTAATGGCTGTTTTATCTTCTAGACAAGAGCCCTGGTAGTAGTTACATGTTGGGCTGCGATCCCCATGGTCAGCGGTTTGAAGCCACCAGGAGCTCCTCAGGACAAAGACTGGGTGTTCTCCCCCCATAAACAGCTACAGTCTTGGGAATCCACAGGACTCACTGCGTCAGCATTACCTCAACGACAGTGAGTTGGGTTGTGTTTGGATTTTTCTTGAATGATGTTCAATAATGCACAAAATATCTGGGACAAATATAAAACAAACAGTAAACAAATAAACAAAGCTAACTTATACCTCTATTTCAAACACATTATTTTAAAAGCTTACAGAAGCCTGCCCAAACAGATGTGATAGATTTCACTTCTGTCAGACCTAAGAAACCTTATAAGTAATAAAAAATTCACTGCCATCCAGTCAAATGCAACTCAGAGTAACTGTGAGTAACTGTGAGTGACAATACAGAGATGATAAGGCTGTACATCTTTATGGGAATCGGACAATCTCGTCTTTCTCCCACAGAGGGGCTGGTGGGTTTGTACAGGCCAGTAAGCAGCCCAGCATTTGCTTACCCGACAGCACTACCCAGGCTCCTTGATAAGAAATAAAGCACTGGCCATTCATTTGCAATCAGGTTCAGGAGGACAGAAAAACTTCAATGCAGCCTGACTTTGTTTTGCTTCAGAACTGGTGGGTTACAGCTCACAGTCTACAATTACGTTTCACGCCAGACGCTGGCACCGAGAGGTGACGTGTGATGGAAACACAGGCAGGCAGGCTCTCGGGAACGGAGATGGAATGGTGCTGGGAAGGCCACCTGGTGACACTGGATTACACTCCTGAAGGCGGGAGGGAAAGGGGCCATCCAGGGGGGTGTTCCAGGCACACAGAAGAGCGTGTGTGAAGTTCCCAAGATAGCAGCATGCCCACAAGAGTGACTCAGTTTTGCTATTTATTACTTTAGATAGTGTATATTTTTCTTTATCTCTAGCATAAGAATGCTGTGATAATAATAGCACCCATTTGTTATTATAAACCACTGCATCTCCCTCAAATTGTTCATGTAATAGGCTTTACAAGTTTTGGTTCATAACTGTGAGTCAGATGTCCCTCACTCAGGGACTGCCTGTATTGTTACTCTTTCTGTCTCATCATTGGCTACCTTATTATGTTCTTGGGGACACCTCTGCTCACACAGTGGCTTCCTTGGAGTAGAGCCCATGGGCTGGTAGTGTTGGAATCCTACACAGGGCTGGACACAAGGACGATATCAATAAATATTTGACGTCATATTTGAGGTCATAGAAAGCATCACTCTGGGCAGCAGATAGTCCTCCTGTAGTAAGTATGCATGTTTGTGGACAACACATGGAGGAGGCAGCACGGTGTCTCGCACACAGGCTTTTGGACCATTTCAAGTACCTTGGCCAAATGACTGTGCAGCACTGCATTCTAAGTTTCCCATGGCATTTTCACCACAGTACGCGCTCTCATCCAACCCTGGGTGAGCCACAGAACCGAGAGGAACAGCCCTGTGTGCACCCCTGTTTCAGCTTCCTTCCACCAAGCCTACTAAACACCTACTATGTGAGGGGACCTCATCATGGAACAACCAGATACGAGGATGCCAAGACAATGTCCATACAGCCTAGCAAGACAGACATGGAAGGAACAACACGAGTACACATAAATGTCCTAGAAATCTTTTGAAAGACCTGTAAGTGGTGCCTGAGGGTGGGGGTTGAGGTAAAGCTATGCAGAAAGGCTGGCACTTGCACAGACAGGATTTTGAAAGAGGACAAATGGGCCCTAGGCTAATCAGAAGCGGGATCAAAGGGCATCTGGGATTGTGCAAAACACTGGCAGAGAAAAAACACATCGAAAAATGCTGGAGAAACGCATTTGACATCAGGAAAGGAAGGCCGGTCTACTGCACTCGTAAACTTTCCAAGAAAGAAACAAAACAGAACCCTTTCAAATAAGGGACTGAGGACGGCCGGTTCACGTCACCAGAGCTTGTTTTGTTCAGCCCTCTCAGGCTCACTTGCTTTGTTTTGCTCTTTCTGTTTTGTTTCCCTAATAAGAAATAAAGTAAGCACTGGCTTACTACTGTAGAGAAGAAAAGTACTTCAACTTCACTGTGGAAAAAGAAAACTGAAAACAGGGCTGTGGGCCAAGGAATAAACCAAACTGGGGGTGGGGTGAGGGGGTACCCTTGGCTGACTAATAAATAAATAACATTAACAAATAACACAAAATCCAAGTGTCATGGATCTGAAACATCAACCTCAACCCCTGACCAACTCCGTAGACATGTAGTGCACACTCATTGACTTCTTTGTCTCTGGATGATCACACCAGTGAGAAGCTCGAATTGCACTCCTTTCAAGCAAGCTCTTGCTTGCCAATCTAGGGGTGGAAATAAGTAGGAGACAAATCACTGTACCCTGCTCCTTCTACGGCCCAACCTTCGCGAAGTGAAAGCCCACTCCACTCCACTCCACCAGCGACGACCAAACTCACCCAGTAAGAACAATGTCAACACAGCCACAAGGGAGATGTGAGAACCCGCTACCAGACCTCCGGCAGGGCGGGCGTCTCATCACTTCTTCCTGTGGGCAGGGAGCTCACAAGAGGGACTTCCTATGGGGGGATGTGGGACCACAGGGGCTACTGGGGGTGGGGTGGGGGGAAGCGTGGTGAAGTTACCTGGGAGCTCAGGTAGACTTTGAGGCACTCCTCGCACACGGCCTTCTTGCAGCAGGGCAAGGGCTTGATGGGCTTGTCTTCCAGGCACACCCGGCACATCAGCACCATGAGGGGCGCATAGGGGTCCCCTACCCCACTCAGGCCAGAAAAAGGTGGCGCTCCCAACAAGCTGGGCACGGAGAATGGCTCCGGCGCCAGGTAGAACTCCAGCTCAATGCTGCCGCCGTCGGGGGACAGGGGGTCGGTTGGAAGGGAGAGCCTGGGGCTGGGGGCCGAGGAGGCGGGGCTGGGGGGACTAGGCACCGGCAGAGGAGCCCAAGGCGGTGGCCCGTTTGGCGCGGGCTGCTCGCAAGTGGGCAGGTCATTCTCCACGCAGTACACGGAGCAGAGGACTTGTCTCTTGGCTGGCAGTGGGCGCCGCTGGCTCGGCCGGTCCGGGACCAGCCCGTCGGAGGGCCGGGTGCTGGTCCTGGGCTCTGGCTTCACACTGGGGGGCACCTCGTGCTGTTCATCCCCTCCTTCTTTTAGGTCCCGGGCTTCCTCCTCCTCCTCCTCGTCCTCCTCCTCTTCCTCCTCCTCCAGTTGCAGTTGCAAAGTCTGGGGGTTGAGGGGCCCCGAGAGCGCCAGTCCCGCAGGCTGCCCTGGAGCTTGGCTCTTCCTCCCACCCAGGGTCGCCTGGCTACGCGCGGGCTCCGGGGCGCAGGCGTCCGCGCCGCCCGAGTCGCTTCCGCAGCCGCCGGCGTTCGGCTCCGCAGAGTCGGCGCGCGACCTGGGTGCCCCGGCGCTGTGCCCACGCGGTCTTGGGGGCTGGGGGGAGTCGGCGGCGTC